CTTTCTTTTTTCTTTTTTAGGGGGTGTGATGGTGAAGGGGGTGAAGGGGGCAGGATGAAAGAAGACAATTCTCTGTATGTATTGGTTGGCTATGCCCACAATCGCAGGAGGCCCTGGTTTCCTCTCCAGTAACCTACCAGAAGTAAATGCTTAAGGGTAGCCCCCACCTGCATCCCCTTTATGACTTGCTGCTTGCTGAAGAACTAGACATCTGAGAAGGTAAAAAAAAAAGCCCGAAGTGATGGAAGACTAGAACAGTTTATGGGATCAGGCTCCTGAAAATATTCTAAAAAACTTGCACGAAAATGTACTGGAATATTCCTACTACTATTTTGAACACTCCTAGACAAGTCATATTTCTGCTAGCAACATATTCTGCAAGACTCAGTCACAAGGATAGTATTTCACAGGATTATATTTTATTGCAAGTTTCAAGAAAAAGGAACAATGAAAAGAAAAGTGGTTTTGCCTTAGATTTAGATACCTAAATGGAAGTGAGAGCATTGCTATATACTTATGGAATTAAGATGCCTGAAATTGTTGGCTTTAGAAGGTCATTTCCCTATGATTAGGTTTTAAAAACTCTCATTGTACAGAAGTGTGAAGCTACACTTAGGTTCTACAGAAGCACTCCAGGCTTTCTCTAAACGTAATTATTTTCCCAGCTGTCTACTTTATTTTTATTTATACAAAGATGAGTTAGTCTCTTCCCCTATTAGTACTGTCTTCCAAAGAGAAGCGGATGGAGAGATGAAGTGCTTTATGCTCTCTTAACAAGTTTCTTCTCGAATGAAGCCAAATACCAGAAACTACCTGGACTGGCATTATTCTGGCGGTTTAATCACGCTCAGCTATACCACACAGTATCGCAGACCAAACGGCACGAATACACAACAGGCAGGGACGTATCCTAGCAAGGCCTAAGAGTAACAGCAGCAACAGTTTCACATTAGGTATCAAGGCTACCCACTAAGCCACACACTCCTAAGAGTCAATCGCAGTAACCATGCTCAGCGGTGCCTACTGAAGGTGACCACACGGTCTCAGAGGCGACGGGTATGAAAGAGGTGAGAAAAGCGACAGTACCCTGCAGCCCCTTAGCAGCACTCCCAGGAGCCAGGGGGAAGGAGGAGATCCCCCAGTATTTGTCAGGCATCAGGGGACTTGGAGCCTCATGCTTGAAGACACAGGTTTAATATAAACAATGCTACCTCTTGATGCGCTTCTGTTGCAAAGACAGTGGGTGGACTTCACGTATTTGTAGTATTAGAAAAGGTACCACGTCTTGTAAGAAACATGAAAAGTTATGCTTGGCTTCGTTTCCTTAGATTTAACCACTGTTATCATCCTGGCTCTTCAAAGAGCATGCATGTGAGAGGGACAATAGAGAGCAACAGAGAAGGGAATGAAGTTATACTTCAAAATTTGGAATAAAGCATCAACTTTTTAAACCGAGACAAAACCCTCTCTTGCACAGTGTTTAGAGCTGTTTCTCCCTGTCATGCTGAATGCTCTGGTACCGTTCACATTTCTCAATTAGCACCACCACGGTGCTGTTTCCCAGACAGCATGTCTAACTTCTGCACATCTTTTATCACAGCAACCAGTGTAAATCCACCATTTTCAAACAAAGTTTTACTACTAAATGAATGTGGATACTGACTTCTTTCTCAGAAGTCTTGGAGTTTTATTCAATAGTAATACCAGGTGTGCTTACTTCCTAGTATTATTATTACATTTTACCTTCTTCTGTAAACAAGTATGACTCAGTCTCGTTTCTCCTGGAACCACGATACCTTGTGTCCTGGTTTTGGTTGGGATAGAGTTAGTTTTCTTCCAGGTAGCTGGCAGAGTGCCGTGTTTTGGATCTAGCATGAGAATAATGTGATAACACACTGATGTTTTAGCTGTTGCTAAGCAGTGCTTACACTAGGCAAGGACTTTTCAGCTTCTCATGCCCTGCCAGCAAGAAGCTGGGAGGGGGCACAGCCAGGACAGCTGACCTGAACTGGCCAAAGGGCTATTCCATACCATATGATGCCATCCTCAGTATTTAAACTGGGGGGGAGTTGGCTGGGGGGCAACAACTGCTGCTCAGGGACAGGCTCAGCATCGGTCGGCGGGTGGTGAGCAGTTGCATCACTTGTTTTTCCTGGGTTTTGTTCCTCTCTCCCTTTTTGTTGTTTTCCTTTTCATTGCAAATTATCATCATTATTATTATTATTATTATTATTATTATTATTATTATTATTATTATTATTATTATTATTATATTTCAATCATTAAACTGTTTTTATCTCAACCCATAAGTTTTCTTACTTTTGCCCTT